AATGTATTTCTCTATTTTCTACTCCAAAATAGAGTAATTTCAAAATAGAGTTGTGTTTGGCTCTAATATATATCTCTATTTTTTACTCCAAAAAGAGAATATTCTTGATAGATTCTCATCTTATTTTATTATTTATTTCAAAAGTTTACAAATAAATGCTATTTATTTTGTTATTTACAGATTCTTTTAAAGATATGAATTAAAAAATTATTAAATAATAAAATTACATAATAGCAACGATTGCTTCTTCACCAACTTTACCTTGATGATTTTCGAATGATCTTGGTGCATCAAGAAGTGGTTTAGGGGGTTATTATTTTTTTGTAATAGTTTTGTTAAATTTATTTATGTTGTTTATCTTAAATTTAGTATTCATTATGTATTTTTAACTTTTTATATTTTGCAATCTTTTCTAAGAATAATTGTAGTGTTTAAATATTTATTATTAATTGTTTTATAATATTTAAAAATATTAAGTAGTATAAAATAAAAATATTTAATATTTATAGGATCAGTTTGCAAATGAAAAAATTAAACTCCAAAATGGAGTACAGTTTAGGTTTACACAAAATATAAAGTAGAATTTAGGTTTACTACTATTTTATAGTTTTAAATAGAGTAGAGTTGGAGATCAATTTACTTACAAAATAGCATTTGGAGTGAAAAAATGAAGCATGATTGGAGATGCTCTTAGCATTGACTTCTCATCATTCCTTGAGCTGATCACTAAGGCTTGGTTTGAAGAAGCCAAAGCATAACACTTGTCTAACTTGTGAACTCATAGGGTTGGTTAAGAAGCCAAAGCTTAACACTTGTCTAATTACGTGTAATCTATCTGATCATTGAAGGAAGGTTGGGAATTTAGGGATTGTTGTTTCGTCTTGTCAATCAAACAGAATTGTAACTCAAACTCATTTAAACAACAGCACGCGCGTATTGTTTTATCTTGTCATTCGAACATAAAGCCTTGTAGCACAGAAGAGTAATGGCAGACATAAGGTAGATCAACCGTTTTGCAGACCCATAGAGAGTGGAAGACGACTGCATGTTGAACTATCCATATTTCCATACAAATATATGTTGAAAAGTATATAAAAAGAGCGCGGTTTTCAGTTTTGTGAACGAAAAATAGTACGTCCCCAAGTGGCTTTCATAGATTTATATGAGGGTATGGCAAATTTAACAATTATTTTGGTTTAATATAAGTTTTTGATAATAAATACAATATAGTTTCAATTTCTTCTTGATTTCAGTGTTCTATATTTACATACTATATTTTAACAAAAAAACTAATGATAAAATGAACTGGGCATTACTATAAACAAATACGGCAACTTATATTTTGGGTAGTTACAAAAAAAAAAAAAACTTATATTTTGGGTGTATATTGGTAAATTTAAGTGCATTTTATTTTCTAATTTTTGAAAAAAAAAATTATTATGGAAATGATAATTTAGTTAACATATTAACTTCTGTTAAAAAGTTCATTTATTTTGATATTCACAAATAAGTAAGTATTTGATAAAACCAATCGTATCAACCCCAACCCCAATGGTGTTCTCAAAAAAAAGAAAACACAATTATATTTTAGAAATAAGTTTTAATTTAAATAAAATCTTTGAGCTAATAACAAAAGACAAGTGTTATTACTTTTTGAGTTTTTGTGAGTATTATTTTTACTAGGTTTGACCCGCGCATTGCGCAGAGTAATTTGTTAATCTATTTTTAAACTTTATTATTTTATATATTTATATTATTATTATGTTTATTTTTAGTTTATTTATATTGTTTTGTAGTTATTTTTTTTGAATTAAAATTATTTTTATTATTTTTATCTTAAAATATATAGATATATTATGAAGTTATTGGCATGTGCTAATTGTTTAACAACTTCATCCATATTTATACGTTGTCATAAGTATTTAAATTTTTCTCTACATATATTTCTATTCAATTGGTTTCTACCTTTTTATATATTGTTTATTTCCGGCGAGATGAACAATCTCAATGCTTTAATTGAATAACTTCTTCATTTTTTCATAAATTTTGGAAAATAACTCATTCTGAAGCACAAATAGTAATGTTTTTAATATTATTTTTTCCTTCATATAGATCAAGTTCATTTCATACTATATGATTAAATACTTTAGTCTTCTTTATTTCTATAAAACTTTGATTTGTTGTAAAAAAAAAAATATAAAACTTTTATTTATTTTCACAATAAATAGATATGAATAATTTTACTTTATTTTTATACATATATCTTTCCGACTTTATTTGTTGTTTGTGGTCTTTTGCAAATAAAGTTGTTTGCATTCCAACTTCTTTTCCACATTTCTTTTGTTTATATTTGAAATATCAATTTGAATTTTTTTATTTCGTAGAGAATTTGTAGTTTTTATAATTTTTAAAATAAATACTTATTTTATATAAATAATTTTCTTTAGTTATATATATATATATATATATATTCTCAAGTTTTTTTTTAAGTTTGATAACTATCATTTGCAAGTTATTCTGTCATGTTTTGTATTTGTTCGACTTTGAACTTTTCTTTTCTACATTCTTTTATCTTATATTCTAAATAATGTTTTTTATTTCATAATTTTTATGTAGTTTTCATGATTTGTAAAATAAGTAGTTTTTTCCCCCTTTTAAAAATATTTGGTATGAAGGCCTAAAATATACAAATCTAAAATATATAGAAGTTGATAAAAAAAGATCACAATATATAGAAGTCCATAAAGAAAAGAACTACTTGTTGAGCTGTATAGCTTCATTGGAGAGAAATTTTTTATAATAAATCATTTTCAATCACAACAGTCCTAAATCTTTTTTTTTTCTTTTGTATAGTTTTTTTTGTCGTCACCTACTTTTTGTTTTTTTTTTGTTTTTTATGCTACATGATTTTAAACTTTAGTCTTTTTTTCACAGCAAAAATTTAGTCTTTATTTATGAAAAACCTTCATTCATTTTACAACGTAAAGTATGAATGATTTTATTATAGTTTTCTGCATACATTTTTCTGAATATTTTTTTCAAAAAAAAACTTCAACAACTATTTTGTGCAAGTTTTTTCATATTTGTTTAATTCTAATCTCTATTTACACATCATGTTTGTTTATTATCTGAATTAGCATACTTTTGTTTTATAAAAAAAATATAATTTTTTTGTGTTTTGTAAAATCGGTATTATAATTTTTAACTTAATATCTTAAAAATCCCAAAAAATCTGCATCAAAATAAACTCATGTAATATTATGTGAAAACTCAAAATATTTAAAAGTCTAAAAAATAAAAATAAAAATGCTGATATGAACACTGTAGATGGAGAGAAACTTCTCTAATTGTTGAGAACGTATCTCAATGAGAATGCATATGTATCATTAGTTGCGATGATTGAATTGAGGGTATTTTTGTCTTAATTGTTTTTACCAAAACATGAAAGACCATTGAACACAAAAATATTTAATTTTGAAGAGCTTGAAAATAAAGCGAATTCCTTCAAAACAGACGCATAATTTAAGTGTGACATCTCTCGATAACAATAAGGCCAGGTTAAATAAGTTATTTTGTCTTTTCAAACAGAGTGGAAAAGTTATATCTGCCTTCGGATGACCCATTGAGACTGTGACACATTTTCAAACCGCCTCTGAACTTGGATAGTAGTCTTTGCAGCAGCATATTATAAGCAGCTACAAAAATCATGTCTGCCATTGATTCTCGAGATGACCAAAAGAAAATGCCAAACGCCATCATCAATGGAGTATTCAATGCTTAATTTTAATTATGTAGTAATTTTATTTTACTTGACATCGTAATTAATTTCTTATACGAAGGATGATCCTTCCCAAATTGACCAGGCTGTGCCTGAAATAATAGCTACGACCTGACTATTGAAATAATAGCTACGACCTGACTATGACTTATTTAAAAAATACTCCTACATTCACATTCTAGCTTTAGAGTCTGATTACACTTTTAGTCTTTTAAAGACTTTGAAATGAACTTTATAAGAGCATCTGCATTGTTGAGTCTATCACAAGAGTCTCTCATCAATAAAAAAATCATAAAATATATCAATATTTTATTATAATAATTTTTTTAAATAGTTGAGAAACTTTCTTCACTTTTTTTTAGAGATTCATACACTAAAATATTAATATTTATTATTATTATTTTTTTTATTATTATTGAGAGAGTATGGTGAGATAGAGATGGTGAGAGACTCTCAATGCATATGGTCTAATATTCCTAAAACCAAACGAAGAATTTTAAAAATATCCAAAAAAATATATTCACATTGTTCTTCGTCATCGTCGTCTCGCTTCTTCATCATCGTATCGCTTCCCTCGTGCAATTTTTCCTCTAATGTACTCTGTTTTTCATCGCCTGCTTCTTTTCCCTTTGTTGTTCTGTTTTTTTGTCAATGGATATTCGCGTCAAGCAAGAAAATTCACCAAATCACACAACCCGACCGGCTAGGGAACCCGCTGGGAACGGCAACAAAGAGGATCTTGTCGGTCTCTCTAGTAGGAAAGAAGTAGACGGCTCCGTGTTTTTGGAAAGTCCCAACGAAATCGTTGAAAGCGCGGACCGAACCGGCGGGTTTTCTCCCGATGTTTCCAAAACTTTCTCCGTCAGCGGTGAGAAGAGAGCGGGAGTGTTTTTAAAAAACTCTCCCGAAAAGAGGCTAGTGGTTTTGATTTCAGAGGAAGACGAAGGGTTTCTGCAAGCGTTACCACAGCTGGTAAAAGCAATTCCGGCGACGCCCTGTACCGCCGTGCTGCCGCCTACTTTGTCACCGTCTTGCAAGCAGTTTTGGAAAGCTGGGGACTACGAAGTAACATCTTCCGGTGATTCGGAAGATTTTTCTGGTAATTTCAAATAGCAAACTTGATTATAGACTTCTCTATTGATTTGATTTCAAGAAAAAAAAGTAGCTGCAATTGTTCATGTGATTGGGAATAAAAACGGAATGGTTTCAGGTGGATTTGATCATGCAAGGGTTCATCCTAAGTTTTTGCATTCTAATGCGACAAGTCACAAATGGGCACTTGGAGGGTATGGTTTTCAATGAAGTTTTGATTTGAAAATGTTGAAGGATGTGAGATTATCAGATTAACAATGGTTTCGTATGGTTATATATCTTGCAGCTTTTGCAGAGCTTTTGGACAATGCTTTAGACGAGGTAGGATGTTTTGTTTCTTCTTTTAGTATTACTATGGTTTAAAAGTGCATTTTTTATTTCTGTTTTGCAGTAATGCTTTTTTTCTCATCATTTGTTTATTAGGTTCGCAGTGGAGCATATGTTAATGTAGATATGCTCCAGAATAGGAAAGATGGAAGGAAGATGGTCGTGATTGAAGGTATATAGTTGTTTTAGTATTTCTCTAGAGGTTTTAAATTTCTTGTATTTAGTATGATGTTGTTGTATCCTAATGTTTGAAATGCAGGCAATGGTGGTGGGATGAATCCTGAAATGATGCGACACTGTATGTCTCTCGGATACTCTGCCAAGAGCAAACTTGCAAACACCATTGGACAGTGTAACGACTCTCCTTCCTGCAAGATATATAACAAGTGTTTACATCAAGACTCTTAATTTATATACTTTTCCTAGTGATGGCAATGGATTTAAGACTAGCACGATGAGACTCGGTGCTGATGTTATCGTATTCTCACGTTGTGGTGGGAAACATTGTGATGGGTTTGTTAACCTTTACCATGCTGTTATCATAACCAGCAATCTTGTCTTGCATAATTTTGGTGGATTATATATATAAAAATATTTAATATATGTATATATGTGTATATATATATTAAGTTAAATTTCCCTGATCAAAGTTCTTTTTACTTAATGCTGGTTTAAGTTTTACGCAGACCATTGGGCTTTTATCATATACATTCCTAAAGAGCACAGGAAAAGAGGACATTGTTGGACCCATGGTAATCAACCTTAATTAAACTTTATGGGGATACATCATTGCATGCGCATTGGTATATCTTCTAAGCTAACATTTGATATATGTCTTGAAAATTTGACGAAGTCAAGGATTGTTAACGTATTCGTGCCTTACAGATTTCATATAATTTAGGCATCAACCACGTAGAACCTATTTCTGTTTCGTAGTTAACTGTTTCTCCACATATCTCTCATTCCATTAATTAGCAATTCTGAGTTTAGCAGGCTCTTGTAGCGACCTTTGTCTCTTGTAATCTTCTTCTTTTCATTATTTATATGAAAGCTTCACTACGAAAGAAGTGATTGGCGTAAGAATGTTGAAACATTAGTTCAATGGTCGCCATTCTCTACTGAAGAAGATCTTCTTTCCCAGGTGAAACTCTTTCCTTAGTTCTAATATTTGGATACCTATATATGGATTGTATTCTTCATTATTCTTTTGATGTGGGTTTTCAAATTGATACGATCCTCCCAAGGAAGTCGTCATTCTAGAGTTGGTGAATGGATGGATAGATGGATAGGCCTTAGAACTAAGAAGAAATGATCTTCAAAGTACAAGGAAATGATGGATCGTAAAGTCGCACAGAAGTTGCGGAAGGACTTCTGATTTACCCCAACTTGAGTTCCTTAGATATGACACACGAAGACAAACTCAAGGTCGATTGAATGGATATGACGCACCAAACAATCTCTTAACTCCCTGAATATGACACACCAAGACAAGCTAAGTTTTGATCAATGAATATTACACACCAAGGATCGAAAATGTTCACAAGGAACAAAAGAGAATCACTCTCAATGATTTTAATAAAAAGGTGGATATCTTATAAAATGATCTTACATGAATTTATATAAAAAATAAAATGAGTAGGCAAAGGGCCAAAACCAATTGAATGACTTTTGAACTACTTAAGGGACCCTTGAACTGATTTAGTGGATGCCTCTTCAAATCTTCCTTCTTAGGCACGAAATGGTCTTGCTTAAGTGAATGGGCTTAGTAACTTTGTGATTCATTTGCCTCATTAAAACCTTTCCTGGAAAACCTATTGGGACAAAACCAAGGATAAGGAAAAAGAGTACAAATGATCACAAACCCATTAGAGCTCTCCTTGGACTTGAATCATCATTAAGACTTCTGGAGTGGAGTCATCTTCAGTCCAATTCGAGTTCTCGTTGGATGTGAACATTTGGTTAAGTAAACCTCCAATTCCTTGTATAAACTTCTTAGCTCTTGCACGAGTCATCGGTCCTGCCGGTACAACTAAGTCATCCTCAGCTTCTAGCTCAGGTTCTAGCTCCGGTTCAAGCTCATTCTCTTTGGTGCTATCCATGATCGCATCACAAATGGTACTACCTCTTCAATATTCTATGATCATAGTTGCTCTAATCTATTGTTCTGGCTGTTGTAGTTTAAAATAATGAAGGATCATGGCACAAGGATAATCATATATAACCTCTAGGAAGATGACGAAGGATTGCTGGAGCTTGATTTTGACAGTGATCCATATGAAAGCGTTTTGTACTGCTGAATATTTGCAGATTGTGATCTGCATCGACGTAATAGCTTATGCATTCATTTACTTGACATGTGATATGTTGCAGGATATCCAACATAGAGGGGTTAATCGGGATCAGAAAAGTATCTATATGGCTGCTAATAACCCGAACTGTAGACACCTCCTGACACACAAGCACTCATTGAGGGTAATTATATACTTTCCATTATAGTTTGGTTCAGTCTGAAACAGAAGTATCTTTGATTTTTGATGAGAATCCTGTCGAAAGTAACCTGCATTGGTTTTGTTCTACAAAACTGATTAATTTTTTTCGGCTTCTCCCCAGAGTTACGTATCCATTCTATACCTAAGATTACCCCCTTACTTCCGTATAATTCTCCGAGGAAAAGATGTTGAGCATCATGACATTGTGAATGACATGATGCAAACAGAAAGAAAATTGTATTGGCCAAGAGAGGCTGCCAGAGGACTCTGTAATTGCTCAAATGTATGTCTTTCATTTCTTAGTTATACATGGACTTTCTTCCTCTTATTTAATAACTAATAGCTTGTTGTTTGAATTATTTGAAACAGGTGTATGCTGCTGTCACAACTGGATTTGTTAAGGATGCAAAAAATCATGTTGATGTTCAGGACTTCAATGTTTACCACAAAAATCGCCTTGTTAAGGTTTATGTTTTTTTTAGCTTATATTGTCTTTGTTGCTTTGCTTCGAATTTCAGGCAAACAAGATTATTTCTGCCTTTGTGTTTTAACGTTTGACGTTATTTGCCAGTCATTTTGGAGGGTATGGAATGCAGCAGAAAATGGTGGCCATGGGATTATAGGTATCGTTTACTACTGAAAAGTCGAATATCTAGTCAGCCTTTTTGATGAGATGTGTAATGGTAATTTTTTTTGTTACTAAGGTGTCTTGGAAGCTAATTTTGTTGAGCCTGCTCATGATAAGCAAGGTTTTGAGTGTACAACACTTTTGTATAGACTCCAAAAATGGCTAGTAAAAATGTAGAAGGATTACTGGTCAGATGTTCTTCTTGTGCTTTTAAAGTGAAGCCTGTTAAGGTCGAATGCTTCACTCAACTCTTTCGGCTTATGTTTCCGTTTCTGCTTTTACCCAGGACATCTAATCGTCATCAAATCGGACCCCAAGTCAAGGTAGAAAGTCAGAAAAGGATTCTGAAGACGGAGGTACATCATCAGGTGGTAAACTTGCCAACACCTCTTCGAAATCTAAGAAACTAGCAAAGCCTCAAGGAGAGCTAAGCAACAGTGATGAGGACCTCTTCGAAATCTCAGAAACTAGCAAATCCGCTGATACATATTTTAAATATGTCATAAGAAATTTAATTATCAAATATTACATCAAATAATTACACTACTTTTTATAAACAAAAACATAAAATAAATATTATATAGAAGAAAAAAAAAAATTTCGAGAACAATATATTACATTTCTTAAATCAAAATTAAAATCACACTACAATAATAAATACAGTATTATACAAAAAAACAGACAGAAAAGTCAAATCTGGCGTCTCTCGATAACCCATAAGGTCAGGTTGAATAATTATTTTGGTCTTTTCATACAGAGTGGGAAAGTTAAATCTGCCTTCAGACGACCCATTGAGACAGCGAAACATTTTCAAACCGCCTCTCAACTTTGATAGTTAACTGTTTTGCCGCGGCAGAGTATAGGCAGATGGAAAAATCATGTCTGCCATCATAGATCCAGAAATGAGGGGTCCATTACTGTCCTTTCAGTGTAATTTTAGCATGCAAGTAATTTACATTAATAAGTTTACCTTAATTATAATATAGTCAACGTTCAGTCGTTCAATGATCTTACTGGATTCAGAAGTGGTTTTTCAGAATAGTATAATATCTTCTGGTAAATTTTACTAATACTATATATCTTTGATATTTAGTATTAATTATGTTTTTTCCATTATGTATTTAAAATTTGAGGTTGGTTATGTTGTTGTAACTTCAATTTAATGAATATAATTATTTCTGTTTTGTTTATAAATATGTTTGCTATGCAGAGTGTTAATTTTCATTGTACTAAAAAGTAGAGTACATAGTTATTGTTTGGGTATAAAGTAAAAATATTTTAAAAGTTAAAGTCCGGTTTTACATGGCGAAAAATAAGGATAATCACGGTTGTACTTTGTGAAAAAGGGGTAAAAATAACTTCTATAAAGGTGGGTTATCCTGAACACGTTAATTCTAACATCATAACAATTTTTTCCTCCTTTGATTCACATAAATACATGGAGGAACATGGTTGCCCCTAGAAGTTCTCTTCCAGCAAAGAAAGCATCCAACAGTCGGCAAAGGAGGTGGCGGCTTCCTTCCATTTTTAAAGATGAAGCAGATCATCGTTGTAACACTCCGCTCCCAGCACCCCGCTCCGGGCACCTCCGGAACGACAGCGTTTTAACCACTGGGATCAGGCCCCAAAACCTTTTAAAAATCAAAATCCGCCAACTTGAACTTTAACCGCCATTTCTGTCCTACAAACCTGCAAAGGGGAAAAAGAGAAGGCAACAGGGAGGGTGTGAGTAATTTGGGATTACTTAGAAGAATGAACCCAAAACAGGATCTCCATACGAAATACTATATCCGCACACCTAGACTGAGTCTAAACCAACCCCATAAGAACGACTCTCCTATACACCACAGAGACTGACTCCACACAAGCAAACCGACACATAATAGAACTCGCCACCGCCGAAGTATACGACAATGCCACATCCCAAAGGACAACGCCACGTCCCGAAGAACACACCATCCCGAAGGACACACCATCCCGAAGGACAAACACCATCCCGAAAGACACACCATCCCAAAAGACACACCATCCCGAAGGACAAATGCCATCCCGAAGAACACACCATCCCGAAGGACACACCATCCAGAAGGACAAACGCTATCCCGAAGGACACACCATCCAGAAGGACACACCATCCAGAAGGACACACCATCCGAAAGGACAAACGCCATCCTGAAAGACACGAATCATTCTGACCCATCCCGCCACGCCGAGCACTGCAGTTGTTTCCGACTCGCTAATTAGCCGTTAATGAACTACGACGCAATCATTACTTATTGCCATAGCCCAACACACAACAAACAACACACAAGGTCCGTTCTGCCACGCCGTGCGCCCGCAGAACATAACGTTAGCACCACGTCCCGAAGGACAACCATCCCCTATCCCGAAGGACTTGAGTCCACCTGACTCATTCCACCACGCCAAGTGCCCGCAGTTGTTTCCAGCTCATTAGCTAGCCATTAATGAGCTACAACGCAATCATCACTTATTGTCGTAGCCAACAAGTAACAACGGGGTCGGACTAACCCCGTCGGACATTTTAAATATAACATATATACGACCTTATAATATAACTCCACATACCCGTTAAACCCCGCCTTCACTTATTTATATACGCCGACCCATATTAGTTGAATATAGATATATATATCCCGCAATTAAATTAATAGTACCCCAACCACCGTTAATTCTATGACCGTAATCAACCATAATAATACCGCAATCATATCATTTCTTTTAATTAACTCCCTATAAATAATAGGCACAAATTTATACTTTAATAAGATTAATATATTTAGTAACAGTACCCGCCAACCATATCATTTATTTAATTACTTCATATCAATAACAACCATCGAATTATAGCTCGGTAATATTAATACGTTTAATAGCAAAATAGACCACAATATGAATATATGTCACGCAACGTATAAACCATAGACTATATACATAGAATTATTTATATATATATATATATATACAATTACATATTCACGCATTAATAGTTAACAACTTATTTTTATACGACCACCATAATGTATATGACATGCACCGCGACACAACGTAGCTAGCATAATCCTAAGCATAATTTGATTTAACACGAACTCATGTTGTCATCCCGATATCAACTCAACGATGCGTTTTACCATTCCTAAACATTATTGTACGTTACGGCTACCCACCTACACCCGGGAAGGTCCAACCACGATATCAATATGACAAGCATAGGAAGGCGTATGGGTAAGTGAATCAGATCCGCCCTCACCTTAGCTTTACAACGACGGGCTGAACGTGGTGTTGTTGGATGACTTGCTGCGCAAGGAACTCCAAAGTGCGCACTTAAACCTCACGGCTGGCCTTGCGGTTGCAGATCTATCTCCCCGGTGACAGCGGCTAGCTCTTCGGTGACCAGTGACTTGCGGTGGTGCTGTCTAGTGGTCGGTGGTGATTTGTCGACGGTGGCGGGGTTTCCTCACACACACACGTTGGCGGCGGCACTCCTCTCTCTTCTCTTCCTTTCTCCGTCAACACGAGCTCTCTCTCTCTTCTCTCCCTTTTGCCTTTTGCCTTTCTCTCATTATCTGGTTTCTTTTGCTTGAGCGGCTAGGTTTTCGGGAAAATGGCGAGGGAGATACATACGCCAATACACGTGCGTTTTGGTTAGAAAAGAGGAGTGGGCTCACTTGGGCCTGAAGTGCAAAATAAAAAAGGCCCACTAGCAATGGAAAACGGATATTACAATCGTGGTCAGGTTAGAGGCACAATGGCGATTTCTCGGCGACTGGAAATCGCAAGGCGAGATTCTATATGGATAGATTTGAATGGGTACCATGTGATTCTGAGTTGTTTGAAATCACCCGGTCGGAAACGCAAAAAGGTTTGATTTAAAACTCCAGATTTAGTTGTGTCATGGATTATTGTTGAAGTTTTAAAAAATAAAACTTAATTTTCGTTGGTCTTGCAGGAACATTGCCCACCTGTGTTAAGATACTGTTCAATTAAACTTCAATAATTAAAAACACTGTGGTCAGTTTGAAAGCTCAATTACTGACCTTACCGCTGATCTCAAATCAAAAGAATGCAATCTCAATAAGATTAAATAGCTTCACTATTACACACGTGTTTAGAATAATGGAGGTGATTGATAATTAATGTTTAGAACTAGTTACATTTAAAGCAATAAAAGAGAACTAGAAGCTTTTACTGACCAGAAAACGTATCGATGTGTTTTACTCTTAATCTTGAATCTATCCAACTGTATGTTCTTGACCAGGTGAATGCTTTGAAAAGAGTGTTTTGATTTTTTTCTTTTGTATACTCAATTATATGTGAGTTTACAGAAGACAAAAATCAAATTAGTTACAAAAGGCAAAATTCAAGTATCCGTGAGTTTACAAAAGACAAAAGTTAAAACACTCTTTTAAAAGCATTCACCTGCTCGAGAACATACATTTGGATTGATTCAAGATTAAGAGCAAAACACATCGATATGTTTTCTGGTCAGTAAAAGCTTGTAGTTCTCTTTTATTTCTTTAAGTGTAGGTAGTTTTGAACATTAATTATCCATCACCTTCATTATTCTAAGCATGTCTGTAGTAGTCAAGCTTTTTGCAATCTTATTCAGATTGCATTCTTTTGATTTGAGCTCCGCAGTAAGGTCAGTTATTGAGCTTTGCAACTGACCACGAAGTTTTTACTTATTGAAGTTCAAAATAACAGTAAATATATCTTAGTACATGTATCAAAAAGCAGTAATTTAAAAGCAGTAATTTAAAGTCTTAAAAATGTGGATTTGTTAGGTGAATCTCATGTTCATAATTTCATAAGCAAAAGTGGTGGGAAGAAGAGATTATTTGATTCAGCTTATTTTTCTCTTTTTGTAAAAATATATATACGATCAAATAAATGTATTAAATTTTAAAGATGTTTTGTAAAAGCTCAACTGTTCTCATTATAAAAATATATAGAAATTTTTGGAAATCAAAGAGAGATTTCTGTAAAGCTTAGGCTTTGTTGTTTTGTTTATCTAAGTCAAATGAATTTCTATATATATAAACATTTGAATATATGTGTGTGTGCGACTTGATTAGATTTGTGACCTTATCGCGCTGGTGAGAAGCAGAGGCTGCAAAGACTCACTTCACCTTTGACTACTATTTTATCACGTGGTGATATAGGCGAAGTCATCAATCATGACGTGCAGTAGTTTCTCTCGATGAAATATCGCAAACATGTTTATAACATCAGCAGATAAACTCGAGTTGTGACATCAGATATCAGTTCAGCCAAAAGAAGCGAAGAGGACAGGAGGAGGGCGTCCCAGG